ACATCCAATTCATGAGGTAATATTAACTTGTATATTTTTACTAGCTTCACTTATGTATGATCGCACTATTAGTCCGTGTTCACAATACAGTTCCACTTAGTAGTCATACACACACATATAATCATATTTTTTAACATACAAAACCCTTTTAAAACAGAGCTACGTTTGTGACTAGGATCCAGTTAGCCTACCACTGTTTGACCTGTAAGATTCTTATCTATGATGTTTAGAGGGGAGAGGTACCGAGGGCTTAGTTCGTCATGTATTATATAACTCTTTAGTTTGTTCATCAGTTCATTTTTATTAATATTTTTCTTATAAAATTGAAGCGAATTATCCAGGTGTCTGTCTGATAGAGTTGGCATGTTTGAACAGTTGTGTAGAAATACTGAATTTGTTGATCGTGGGACTCGTGTTTTCGTTAAAATGTAGCTTTGTATTTGCTGTAGTTTATTGATGTGTGTTTATCAATATTCTACAGGCATATTCTACGACTGGTCTTATGTATATTCTATAAATTTAATATATTTTCTGGTGAAGCTCCTTGTTTCTTGCCAGTCAGGCTCCTAAGGTAGCTAGCTCTTCCAAATTCTGTTTTTTATGCTATCAATGTGTGGTATCCAGTTTAATTTTGAGTCAAATGTAAACACTAAGTATTTTGCTAATGTTTCTAACTGTAAGAGAGTTCCACCTAGATATAACTGTGGTATTAATTTGCTTGTTTTTTACGATTTTGTAACTAATATGACTTGAGTTTTGTGCTCATATTTTAATTCTCTACTTATTGCAGTACAATTCTATTTCGTATAGTAGTGCTATTTAGCAAAATAACATTTTATTGATTTATTTATTGAATTTCGCGTCACAACTATTCGAGGGTTATCTGCGCTATCCATTCCTAACTTAGAGGTGATAGACTAGAGGGAAGGCTGCTAGTCAGTACCACCCACTGCTAGCTCTTGGGCTTCTTTTTACCAACGAATAGTGAGATTGACCGTCACATTATATCGTCTTCACTGCTGAAAGGGCGTGAGAGGATTATAACCTGCGGCTTGCAAATTGCGAGTCGAGTGCCCTAACCACCAGGTCATGCCATGATCCGTTTTGTAGAAAGAATGACTATATCTGTTGTTTTTATTGAGACTTGCTTTAGTAACGCCCCTAGTGGCCCAATGCTAAGTCTGAAGACTTGTAACACTAAAAGCCATATTTCGATACTCGTGGTGGGCACTACACAGATAGCCCATCTTGTACCTTTGTGATTACCAACAAACATTCAAACAAGCAAAGCTTTAGTATAATAACGTTTTAAGTAACAAAAACAGTTCCACCTACTATTATGTTTGATAATGGATTTATTGATACCATCTTAACACGAGCTTGTTTATAAAAATATTTGGACTACCTAATATTTGGATGTTTATCTACGGAAATATTGATCATACAGACTTATAAAATGGCTCCATTACACATTTCCTTCCATTTAGTCTTGCATGAACTAATGACAGGTGTATTCATGCACTGTAATTCGTATTTTCCAAGCAGTCACACAACACTTCACTTATACATATGTGTATATCCACTGAACTGGTTATTCCACTCGCTGAAACAGACAAGGTCACGAACAACTAGTTAGAGAAGAATAACAGAAACAGTCATATAGCGCCCACTACAAAACCTTCAACGATACGAACCACGTGTCCTATTACTGGTTTTGTTTTGGTGATATCGACTCTGGTTTCAACTGCAGGAAGTTTTTCTCAGACTTAACTTTCAGTTAAAGTAGAGTTGGTTATTGTTAACATACGAAGCGTTAAGTGCAGTAATTTGATGAGGAGGACCTCACTTTGAGACAATAAAGTCTTTGCCAATATGATGTCGAAGCGTTGTATATTGTTTGTTGATATATGCGCTAGCCGTCCCTAATTTAGCAGTGTAAGACTAGAGGGAAGACAGCTAGTCATCACCGCCCACAAATAGTGGGATTGGCCGGCACATTATAACACTCCCACGGCTGAAAAGGTGAGCATGTGTGGTGTGACGGGGATTCGAACCCGCGACCCGCAGATTGCGAGTCGAGCGTTGTATATTTGTCACTATGTTGAACTTGTAATATAGTTTTGCTAAAAGTTTGTACTTATTAAAAACACTGGGACTAAAATGAAGAAAAACTAAATATCGAAATGAAGCTTGTATTTCGTTTAATGATAAAAAGTTTTAAGTTAACATACAATTGATGTTGAGTGTGGAACCTCCAGAAGCGAATCGTTAATTCAAAAAACATGCAACAACAGCAAGTTTTACAGAAGACAAGTTCTGATTTTGATAATTACAACGTTTAGACCGATAGTATCCGATCAACTCTTACCCGATACTATAAGTCGAAACGTTGTAATAAATAAAATTAGAACCTGCTTACCGTAAAACTTGCTGTTGTTGTATATTTGAATATTTAACACACAAGTACTTCCCAACAGTAAGACAGACTAATTTAAACCTATGAAGAGCTCTAAAGTAAAGCTTCTTGTTCACCTTGCAAGAACAATATTGGTAAGTTACCTGCTCGTCATCAGAAAACCGTTACATTTGCGACATGGAATACAATTTGTCATTAAAATTCAAACACCTAAATTCAATACACATTTACGCAAATATAAGTAACGTCATTCGTCTAAAATATATACGTATAAAATAATCAGTTCAGAAAAAAAAATCCTATTTTACTCCAATTTTAATGGGTAAAGGATTATATAGTCTTAATGTATCCTCAAAAATTTTTTCCGGGACAAAATATAGCTAATATCACAAAGATGACTCACTGCTGAGATCGTAAGAACCAAATTCATTTTTGTTTTTTTTTTCTTCAGAAAATTAATTAAAAAGGGATGATCCCTCTATTGGGCAGTCTACGTTACTAATATTCGATTGGTCTTCTCCTGTTTGATAGGCTTTCAATTTCCGAGGGTCGTAAAGAGTCCTGATCTTATGGTACATGAACTTGAAAAAGAAAAGGAGGTTGTCAAATTGGTGAAGGTAAGGCTCTCCTGGTTTCAACAGGCTATCTAGTTCCACAAAGAAATAGTAGATGGCTTCTATGGTGGCCAAATACTCCCGGGGTTTTCCACGTTGATACCTCCAAAACAAGGATGTGTGTGAGGACAGAAAGACACATGGCAGAGCTGAAACAATGAACAATAGATTAAACTTTACATAACTAGAACAATTTGTTTACACGTTATTTCTTCACATACTTTTCGGTTATGGCTACTTTTCGTTGAGGCAACCGTGATGTCTACTGTGTAAGAAAATATACACTAATTATGCTATGGAATACGGGACATACGTACTTTTAGGAGAGAGATGGGGCTCAACAGACATGTGGTCTAATGAGTTGTTATAATTCTTCGATCATCTTTTTTTTTTTGTCATGAAACTGCCCGTTTTTTCTTTCGAGGAAATGTGAAAGCTTGTGAGCTGTTATGAACATAGAATCCTTATTGTCTTGTTAACGATACCAGAATATATGACCAACTTCATCACAGCAGGTTTTGGGTCGAAGGATTCTCTTTCATAATAATAATATTCACTTTGCAGATAAAAATATTGTCGTTTAGTTTACACTAACAATGTCGCTCAGGAAAGGACTGTGACATAAACCTCCAGCGATAAGGTACAACAATGCACTCTCGATTGTTTGTTTGTTATGGATTTCGCGCAAAGCTCCACGAGGGCTATCTGCG